ATATATATATATATAATGCCTTATAAAATGTGTTATTTTAAAGGGACAAAAATTTCAAAGGCAATGTGCCTTGTTCATTACAATCATCATACAAAAATTTTTGCATAAAAATGCAAATAATTACTCTGAAATCAGCAAACTACAGTAATAAACTGTGTTGAGTATTTCCCTGACATTATCAACTACATAATGAGATAGGACATGTGGTTTACATAGTCTTAAATCTTCTATCAATGCTCCACCACCCAGATTTAAAGCACACATTAGCAGAACAGTCACCGTGACAGGGCTTTCCCATCATCATTTGCAGCCAATCAGTTAATGACTGGCAGCTGTCTAAGGATCCATTACTCAAGGCAGCGGTTTTAATGTATAAATACTTCATAAGGCTTAAAATCATATTCTGTCACAGCACATGCTAGACTGAAGTACTCCAAAATTTGCAAAGGCTTCCAAAGGGAGAAAAACTTAAAAACTAAATCTGTAATCTCAAAAAACCTTCTAAGAGACTGGCATTAACGGGTTTATAATCTTTTGCTAGGCTCTAATAACATAACAGACTAAGAAAAATCTGCCTTAAGGAAGACTGCATCCAGTTTCGTGCAGCCAGAATGATTATTAGCATGTTGTAAATAGAAAAAAATAAGGAATTTAGATCCAAAGCATTTCCCTGCATCAATATGGAAATACTACTGCAGTTCTCAAGTAACTGTACTTCCAATTTCCACTCTTACTATGAAGCATCTCTCATTACCTAGTACAGAAACAGCATACTTTTTCACACCTTTGCCTTCTTTTTCATGCATGTGCACTCCTTTTCTAACCAAACTTTAATCTTCTTTAGGAGATGGACAATAACTGTAACATTTATTATTCAACATATCCTTCACTAAGTGCCTTCTGTCTACCAAGTACTGTCATTACTCTCTATATGAGATCATTTTTAAAAATACCTGCCTACCTCCATTCTGTGTTTTAGTGTACAATTACAAAGCATTCAGTGAACACAGAAACAGAGAAACAACAATATGTCAAATAGTGGTAAGTGCTTGGAGAAACATGAATAATGCAAAGAGGGTAGGGAATATTGGACAAGGAAGAGGCTGTAACAGGGATGACAATTTTATAAAGCATCTTACTGATCATGCAAACTAAAGAGCTGAGAAGACCATACTGCGACTATCTGAAGAAACACATTCCAAGAAGAAGCAATAAGGACAAAAGCTCACCTGGCACAGAGAGGGCACATAAAGGGACAAGGAGGGCTGGAGTGGAGGACAAGAAAGAAAAGGCCAGTAGTTAAACAAGGTCTTGCTTTACTTTGAAAGAAACAGGAAGGCAATAACAGACTGAAGGCAATGGAATCCTACAAACGTTGACATGTTTCAAAAGGGCACAAGGCTGCTGAATACTGTAGACTCCAGGAATATAACAGTGGAAATAGCAGTACGGGTCATACAGTAAGGAGGATGGGCATCTCATCATTCCTGTCCTTACAGAAACAAAAGCTGAAAATCAATGACATGCTGGAGTCATCAGTGAGCTGTAGTCACAGGGCTAACCTCCACTCTGAAATTTCGCCAAATAGGAAAATCTAGAATTACAGAAGAGGTGAGACTGCCAGGAGCAGGACCTTCTGGAGACAGACTGTTAAGAACAATTAACTGCTAATTTTCACCAGCTGCTTTAGTTCTCAAAATTAAGAGCCAAAAAGATACTGTAGGACTCTGGCAAGGGGAGAGGAAGAATAATCTTATGGAATGCATCCAGAACATCCTCTACCCAGAGATCTACTAACTAAGAAAAGACCTTACCAGAGCCTTGTCCTAAGGCTGAAGGGAGAAGAATATTCTCTCATTCCAGCTGCTCTTAGCTTTCCTGTTTCAATCTGAAAGGCAACAGAAGGAAAGCAAGAAGCACTTGTGGTCATCTCAGAAAAGCTGACATTTGCTTGTGAGACACTAGAACACTTCCACCATTCTTTACTGCCACATTCATAGGGAATCAGGAAAATAATATAGTGGATCACTGCTGAAAGGTCTGCAAACTTTAACTCACACTTCTTGCAGAAGATCCAAGTCAACAAAAGAGACAAAGACACAAACAAACAACAACAACAAAACAACAACTAAGAACATCTGATTCCTAGCACTGTACCAAACATTAAATACTGTCCAACTGCTACTCTGGTTAACATAAAATCTCACACTAAATCCTCAGTTTGTACACAAAAGTCATCAAGTAAATAAATTTACAAAGCATTTGGAAAGGCAAGAAAACAGAAGCTGAGAGATCAGAGAGAAATAACATGCAATCCAAATCAAAGATGACAGTGGCTTGGGTAATGGTGGTACCAATAGACACAATAAAAAGTGGTCAAGCTACAGAGGTATTTTTGAAGACAGAGCAGAAAATTACTAATGGAATGGATGTGGGGTTGCAAAAGGAGGGAGGCGGCATGGATGACCCCCAGGGCTGCTGCGAAAATGGAGTTGCTGTCAACTGAGATGGTAAAGGATATAAGTTAAGCAGTTGGGTGTAGCACAGACTGGGCAGCTGGTTTCAGAAATTGAATTTTTCATGTCTCAAAGGAGCTACCGTAATTCTGGATATCTATGCATTCATCTACCTAATAAACATTTTTGGAGTTCCTAAAAACTATAGCACTTCTCAAGGGAGAGAAAGAGACATGAAAATACACTGGAAAAACGAAGGAAATTCTTACTGTTTGAGTATATAGATGAAGAAACCATGGAACACATTTGATCATATCACCAAGACATTGTATTCAGATTAATAACTTAGAGCAGCAATAACACCAAGGCTGAGGAGGACTTATGAGTTTACAAAATGCTTGTCACCTACTCCAGGACAGAGACTTCGACTTATACCCTGGGGTCTGAGCAGCTACCATCCCCTTCTTTCAGAGTAATACAATTTGGCTGGATACTTGGTTTCCCAAAACAAAGATAACAATTCCCAGCCTTCCTTATAGTTAGGTGTGGCCAATGATCTTTGAGCAAACATGTTGTGTGCAATTTCTGAGATACACTCTCAGAATGGGTACACCCACAACTTGCCCTTTCTCTCCCTCTTCCTGTCAGCTGAAGTGTTGAAGTGATAATCAGCCATCTTGGACTACAAGGACAGGGTGACACCACTGAGATGGCAGGGGAACAAACAAGAAGGAGCAGGGACCCCCGAAAACCCACGGCGCCATCTTATCAGCTCTGTGCTCACATAGTTACTTAGATTGTCACATCAAAGAATACAGCTTCTATCTTGTTTACGGCCCCCTACCCTTTGGGTACCAGGGAATTAACTCAGTAATTTTTTTTTTGTAAGCCCCTTTTATCTTAGCCTTCTGTAAGAGCAGCTTAGCCTAAAGTTAACTAAATAATTTAATAAATCCTCAGAACAGCACCGTGATGTAAATAACATTCTGGACCAGGGGACTGTTTTAATTTTTTACAATGTATTTTTTTATTTTAAAAAACAGAACATAATTTGGCAACATAAACTTGTTCTGTATACTTGCACCTATTAGTGGAGAAAAACTAAAAGAAAAGCGTTCTGCAAAAGTCAACTGCAACAATTTTTAACTACAGCAATACTTGGGTTCAGGCATTCAATAAACTGCAGTATTCACTGCCTAGAAAAGCCACATGGCAATGATTTCTCAAACTTGAAGAATTACATGCTATTGTACTAGCTCAATTTTAATGCTTCTACTTTGCATTAAAAGCCTTTTAATCTATTACACATTATAACTACAAACAGTTCCTTTGTTTAAAAAAAAAATGTGTAGTTGCTCACTGAATTCTTGACTTAATTTGTGCTCAGCAGACAAGGATGCCAAAGTTACTTCTGGGTATCTGGGTCTTTGGATATACATTCTGATGTAAATCAGCAGGTCATTTCCATATTTTTAGAACAGTTTCCCACTTTCAGTATTAGGATACTGACATAGAATTGTGTTGCAAAAACTAGAAAAGTCCCAGTTTAATCGCTACATAAGCAATCATAATTTAAAGGACAAATTTTAAAAAAGCAATTATGACGAATAATACTCTTTGGCACTTTTACTGTATTTCTTCACTAAAAATGTAGTTATTTTCAATCATTCTCTAGTTTCCATCATCGTTTTAAATTCCCTAAACCTGAGTAACACATTGTAAAAAAGTTTGGCTATTTGCTTTTGTTTCAAAAGAAAATAATTTCTGTTCTGGCTATCAATTTTGATATTTGCTAACAGAATTTTGTAAACCAAAAACAATAAAGATATAATCAATCTTCTCTATAGTAAAAAGTTTATTTTCCTAAGTGACTTACAAACTTTTAAGTAAGAAGGTATTAACTGATTGGAAATACCCAGATTATTTAACCACTGCAGAGCTTAACGGTGACTCACACTACACCACAAGTGTACACTCTGACATCTGGAGACACAATTCCAAGATTCAGAAGTAGCCTTACCTGCAACTGGATAATATTTCCTCAAGATATGCTTAGCAAACAGAAAAGCTAGAGCATACTTCACGGAGATATCCTCAATTTCATTACATGATGTCCATTATCTGTATTTTAAAATGCTGAACCAACCAGTTTTCTAAATTCTTAATGACAGTCAATATTTCTAAACAATAATAGTTCTCATTCCTCTGGACAAACAAGAAAATATTTCCATATTACAAGTTTAATGCTAGATATAACTCTAAATTGGTTTGTACATCCCTTAAAAATATAAAGAATTAAAGATATAGATATTGCATAAAAAGGATTTCTTCTTCAATACTGTGATATGAGGCAAGAAGCAAAAAGGGTGAAAGCATAAACTCTCCAAGCAAAAACATATAATAAAATAATATTACCTTTAGCTGGGTTTACTTTTATCCCAGACCTATACAGCATTTCCTCATTCTGCCAGTCTCCATTCCTGATCACAGTCTTGAGTCCATAGAAAACAATTAATGTAGCTGTAGCATAAAAAATCAAGCTCTTGAGAAACCGCTTTTGGACTTTGACATAAAGAGCTCTAGCACCCACTGTAATCAGCAGGCAGAAGCCCATACTAGGAATATATAATACTCGCTCTGCAATTACAAAGCCAACATAGAAAAACAAGTTTGTAGCAGGAAGAAAGGGTATTATCAACAAAGACAGAGACAGAACAACAATGTTCTCTGTAGAAGGGAGCTGTGTTGTCTGTGATACACTATTTTTAATGCCATTTTCTACTTTGGAGGCAAAGCTGGGCTTAAGCTCTGAGTTCCGGTACTCCACATCTGAATGGCAGCTATGCCCATTAGCATTCTGCTTGCCATTTGTGACAGCTCTCCCATTGTGTTCTCTTTCTAATCTTGGGCTCTTCAAACTGTAGTAGGCAAGGAGGAGGAGTCCAGTATAGAAGGCCACAGTGTGTAGGTTTCTCCAGTCACAAACTGTTTTCAGCAGAGGCACAGCATCCATGGACCAGTCAAAGCTGAGGGTATCTGGACAGAGCAACAACCAGAGGTTCTTGGTTGGCAGATAGAAGAAGGTAAGTGCTCGGGCCAGGAGGCTATCCGAATCTGCAGCTGGGTTGTCTGAGTTGGAAAAGCTCGGTGGTTTGTTTCCCATCCAGTAGAACCGGGCTCCCAAAAGGGAGGTTCCCCAGAAAGTTAACAAGCTAATGCTGAGAAAAAGAGACAAATTCTTCCTCTGAAACCAAAAGAGAGAGAAAAGTAAACATTATCATCAGTACCACACTGGGAACATTTCCTTTAGCACTGAGATGAAATGCATCTTTAAGGGACAGTTAAAACATATTATGTCTCAAATATATTACTTCATTTCCATTTTAAGTATGGTTTATCCTCAAAAGAACTGTGGAATCCTAGTTTGTACATAATTTTTCCTCAGTATCTTTTCTTTCTTTTCTAAAATACCAATAACTAAACCTTTAGTATCTTTACCTCTATAAAAAGGGTCCAATATAGTTTCTGCCAGACTTGTGCAGAAGGATACCACAATTGTACAGAACTTAGCATTTCATGAGATACAGTAAAGACCTAATAACTACCCTCTTTTCATTTTATACATTAGATTGAAGGACAAAGAATAGTCATGTCAAAGAAAATACAGGGTATGGCAGGATTTTGCTCAGATTCAAAGTGTTAAGAGAATTTAGCTAGTCTCCATTTTATTGTGTTGAGTCTCCTTGAAGAACTGATAAACCTGGAACCTGTGGGTCACCTCATGCAGGCACTGACATCAGTGACATCCAAAATTTAATAACACTCCTCATGAGAACTCCAAACTGTTCAAGTTGATGACAACTTTTCAACATATAATCACTTTAAGAATAGATTTATGTATTTCAAGAGAAAGAAGATACTAAGGAGAAGGTCAAAGGACACCCACGTTCATGAGAATATTCTGGAAAATGCCTCCAACCTGAGCAAGTATGGAGAGACTGTTAAGGATTCATACCCTGAAGAGGCAGAGGGAGCAGAGGAAAGGATGGGCACCACAGATCCAACTAGGGGATTCCCTGGCAATCATTTCAACATTCGATAGACTGGCTTACTTGATTCAGAATGGCAGTTAAATTTTTACCAAAGATTTACCAAATACAGAATTTTTAAAAACTCACAAAGCACAGTATCTCTTAAATACATACAATTTCTATTGGAACACTTTTGCATGTTGCATACAATTGCTACGTTGGAATCTTCACAAACTCCTTCTCTTCATCTACCCTCACCTACCTAATAAAGGCCACAGCACTTTACCTCTGCTCCAATCCTTATGATCTCTGCAACACTCATGACTTTCAACATTGGCATATGCTAATGACTGACTCCTTCACCTTTCACACCATAGTCATTAACTGAACTACCTAACAAGCATATTGTCCTGATCACCTCAGACTCAAAATGCACAAAATGGAACTCTTGACTTATCTTTCCCAAACTGAAGAAAAGATTACCACTACCCTCAGAAAGTGGTAATACCATGTAACCAATTTCTTCTTCAGAGTCTCTTCCTTCCTTCCATAATCCATTCATTAGCAAGTACTATATTCCAAATCTGTTTGTTCACTACTTTTGTCCTTATTGTAGTCCAAAATGCCAAAATGGGAACACCACAATGTTCTCCTACATGGGACTCTGATCTTTGCAACAGAAATTACATTATTTCTCAATTTTAACCTCATTACTAATATCTTGAAAGTTTTTCTCTCTATCCTCACCCCACAAAGTTTATAATTCTTGATTTTTTTAAAAAAAAAGTTCTCCCCCTAGCTTTTGGTAATAATGTCCCCTTTTACATTCCAAAATTATTCTGAAAACAAAAATCTGAACAGGTAATTCTGAATATAAAAAAGATACATAAAAGGAAAAGAAGTGAGAAGAAAAGAATTGAAAAGTAGGGAAATGAGGAGCAAAAGATGGAAATTATAGACAATTTTACATGAGGTTGCATATTAATATCTCATTCATAACATGAACTGCCTCAGTATTTTAAAAAACATCCACAAAAGACTTCTGCTCAATTAATTCTTGAAATACATTGTTGGATTCATAGTGGTGGCAGGAGTAATATCACATTCTAGCTTCAGTAATCCTTAACTTTCAGGTCTGTAATGGAAAAATGAAATGTTGTAAAGCCAAACTATTATCTAAGAATAACCTTGCAAACCAATTAATTGCTCTTCTAAAAATTCTACCCAGCAAGAGCCCCGAAATTTCTTGAATTTGGGAAAAAAAATAAGATTATATAAAACCATACTTCACAAGTTATAATAAGTTCATAACTCAGTCATATAATTGACCACTATTAAATTATACAAGGGAGATATACGTAAGAGAGACAGATAAACGATATATATATATATATTTGACAAAGGTAAATGAGACAAGACATGATGGATAAAAAACAAATTCTGAATTCTGTACTAACATATCATTCTTAAAGCATGACTAGGACCATACCATAACAACAGCTTGAGATAGGAGTGAGTAGGGAGGTAAGGAGGAGAAAATGCATTATGATAAAAAGATATAATTAGGCATAAGAAACAGAAGGACAAGAGAGCCACATATTAAAGGGAAATGTGGTCAGGCTTCTTTGCTAATCATGAAACTCCAGATGAAGTTAGCCAAAACAATTAAATAATTTGATTTTATTTCCACAGATAGAAATGTCCTATTTGGGCAAAGCTACCTTATTCATTAATTTTTAACAAAAGTATCTTTCATAATTAATCCAATTTTAATACTTATGAAGATAAAACACTGAGAATGAAATATGATCAAAATTATTTCAACAAGTATAATACTGAAAGAATATTTAAATACAATGACTTGCAAAATAAAAATATGAGGAATGAACCATTCAATAATAAATATCATATGTCTAAGTAATGAGAAAATTACACAAAGTGACAGACACAAATAGCTAGTTAATTAATGCAGTACTATTCATTTTATAATATTTCAGTAAAGTTTCCCATTTTAGTAACTGATATAGAGTAATTCATTGTAGAAGTTCTGATATAAGATGCTCTCATAAACTCAGGATAATTTAACAACAAGGTTTAGAATAGTTAAATAAATGCCACTATTAAAGAGAAACTGAACCAATAAATTGATGTAAAAATGTTTACAATAAAAAAGATTCCAAGGCCTGTGATTTACTACTACTTTTCAACAATCAGCCTGAATTTTATATCATAACTTTCAATGCCTTTTCATTGAATTTTGAAAAAAAAAAGAAATCAAATTTCTCTTCAAATCCCATTTAGTGATCCTGTGAATTTTTTCGTTTTGATTGTGTTTGTAAGGCCTAAAAAAGGTATCATTTCTAATTTAGTCCCTATATTGTAACCTGTGGGTAAAATCAAATTAGCTCGTTTTTCTCAAGCTACAACTAGGAGCCAAGTAATCACACAATTTCCCTTACAGTCTCTTTGTGCTTGGCTTGGTATATCAAACCAGTCTAACACAGGAGTTTCTGAGATGTGCACATAGATAAGGAACCACTATCCAGACACCAAAGACCTGAAGGTTAAAATTAGCAAAATCCACACAAAGGAGGAGAGACTTCAAAATGTGACAAGTTTAAACATGACCTGAGTACAACCTGCAATAGGGAACAGTGGAAAAGAACTGCAATTTAGTAGCTTAAAGCTAAGGCGTAATTATTTCGCTCAAAATATAGTTAAGGCTGGTGCACCAAACAGGTACTTCTCTATGTACTGGATATGCACCCATCAAAAGAAAGGTAAGAGAACCTCCCCATGTTCCTGGAGCTTCATTAAAAAAAAAAAAAAAAAAAAAAAAAAAAAAAAAAAAATTTGTCAGAGATGAGTCATGGTGTCTTGAAAAACAGTTTTCAAACGTGCAAGTCTATTCTCATCAACTGTGAGCTTTTAAAACTACTACTGCCCTTGCTTCAGTAAAATCTGTTGGTGAATGTAATGTGCCCTAAGCGAAGACTCATCCGTTCCCACTCAAGTCTAATTTTTTAGTATAACACCAAAAATGCTGTTGGATTCTGACTTTCATTTCAGAATTTTACGAGTTTTTCCGCACTGTATGTAAGTAAACCATAATGAAACAGAACTAATGATTTCATTCAGGTTCTGAGAAAAATTGACTTTGTAGGTATAGTAAATGACTGTTATGATGACCAAGCTACAGAAGAGCTGAAATTATAAAACGTAGAATTAGGGGGGTAAAATAGTCAAGTCCTATTGCAACATACAGAAGATGGGATTTGCTTCCAGAATTAAAAAAAAAAAAAAAAAAGTTTAATCATGAATCATGAAAGACTGGACTCCAACCTGCAATCTCTTGCCTTAACTGTCGAGACTGATTACAAATGTGCACCATCACACTCTCCTAATGAAATAAAAGTGATTAAAAATACCATAGGATACACACCTATGATTTGAGTACTCAGGGGGCAGAGGACTACATAGTGAATTTAAAGTCAGCATGAACTACATAGAGACCCCCAGCTCAAAAACAAAACAAAACAAGTAAAAGCAATAAAAAGGAGTAGAGCTGAGGATATAGCTTAGTGATAAGAACCGCCATGGGTTTGATCCTCAGTACCACAAACATCATCCACCACCACCACCACAAAAACTCAATAAAAAATTAAGAGAAAAAAGACAAAATCTAAAATCTAAAAAGATGCTCAAGCTTATTAGCTAAGTAAAATTGAAGTGACATAAAAAATAATACAATTAAATATAAATAAATGTCACTGAAATTGTGTAGAAACAGGAACAAGCACAAATTGTTGGGAAAATATGAATTGGAAAGTTTGGGTGGGAAATTCAAAAGTATATAGTAAAATTAACAAATTGTATTACCTATGACTTACCCATATGCATTTATTACAAACATGCTAGTAAAACTTCATAGGTCTAAGTACAAGGACAGCTGATGCAGTGATGGAGTGTGTATTTTTGAATTTTTTGGTTGCTTTGTTTTATAGTAGTGGAGACTTGGGTCTTTGCACTGAACTACATCCCCAGCTCTTCTGAGACAAGGTCTTGCTATATTGCCTACACTGAGCTCAAACTTACTATCTTCCTTCCTTGCCTCCAAAATGCTAGGATTATGGGCATGTGCTACCATAACCAGCTAATGCAGTGTTATTTATAAAGGTAAAAACCAAACCAAACCAAACCAAACCAAAAAATG